AGGTGCAAGGTGTACCGAATCGGAAGCTGCTCGCAAGTGGAAGAATGTTGCATGCCGGGATGGTTGGAATGTCCTGACCTGTTCAATGATTATCTTTAATACGGCGATGTTATACGCACACGAGAGTCCAGTATGAAGCATGGAGAACTGCCCATCTCTATATGCCCAGTGAACTGTAGTATTTGCTACAACGATCTGAATGCTGGTTACGCCTGTCTCATGATGATATTAGGCATCGTAACGTTCAGCCATTGTTATTATTAAAGAAAAATTTTTATATCTACGCTTACACCTTATGCTGATTTTTAGCCACCTACCATGTGAATCATTGTTGCTGTAAGACGCACTAATCAAACAGCAATTCCACACCAAAACACCATGTTCTCCCTATTATTCCAAGGTAAACAAGCTGCTTCCTGTTTTTCGGGTGATTGCGCCGAAATATTGGGTGAATTCCCTGGTCAAGGAAATTAATATCATAAGTTGTTCTTGCGCACGAGTATGTCAAATAATGGATGTCTGTTCCAGGACCAGATTTCACGGCGTCTTGCACCTCTTCTTTACTCAAAGTTGTTTGGAGGACATTTAAGAACGCCATAGCTTCACGTATTTACACACTAGCAGTGCCAGATGCATCTCGAATTATTTTATCGGCTAGATCTACCTCACTCATCACGAACGATGTTTCAGGAACTGGCGTTTTTCATATGCTACCACATAAACTCAAGTGGTTAAAGTAAAGATGGGTCCTGCGGACAAAATTATGCGAGACCCATCTAGCACTGCAGGTTTTGAAGTACCGTGGCCTGTTTCAGTGGCCCCCTGTGAAATCTAGTCTTAGAGAAGTCATTCGTTGAATCAAGGGAATCAGCAGCTAGTAAAAGAAACCTGAATTCTAATATCCGATTGCACTAATGCCATTTTTTTATATTCATCCTCCATTTACCTACGAAAATGATAACTATTGTGGGGGATATAAAAAGGGAATGATTTTTATTGAATGAAAAACTGTTACTTTATTTTATAAATGCAGTATAATTACGGTAGAGTGGCTATAATATGTACTCTGCGTTTTCCTATCTTCTTTTCGACTAGGAGAATTATATCGTTTGTGGAACATGGGCGGCCGAAACGTCGTGTTGGTTTATCAGTGGTGTGATAGATATTGCGATGTTTATAGCGAGATCGATTCTCTGCGTTTTTTCAAGAGAATAAGACCGATGTATATTTTTCGATGAAAGTGGTAATGAAATTGTTTGACGCGGATCTCGTCCACTGGGGCAGGTGATGAATGATGCTCATTTAATTACTGGTTTCAATGAAGAACATGCCATGTCCATAGGAACGTTCTTTGTTTAAAAGGCGGCACGGAATCACATCATTTACTGTGTAGTTGGAGTAATGTATAGCAATTATAGTTAGAGTAGATGTGATATGATAACATGAAAAATTGATGATGGCAAGAACTGAACTATAGAATGTCGGTGTCTTCAAATAGATTTGCATTTTGAACCGTTTCTTCTTTACCGAGTGCGAAGGGTAAGGGTCGTCAATGAACATGGTGATTTTGTAGCTCGTTGTGCCATTTGCCATGATCTGGTAGACACCCGAAAGAAGGTTTACATCGGCAGAGAGAGGGGGCCAGTAGGCTGAAAATCAACAGCTTTACTACGCTCAAGGTTTAAGCTGGCCGGTCGGTCGTCTTGCCACTGGCTGACGGGGGCAGAAGTTTTACGGCTCTTCCGGCTGCTTTGTGTTTGCGGGGACAATCGTTGTTTTTCAATGATCCGTCCGTAGAGCGGCGTTCGTTTGTTTACCGTTTGGCGCCGCTTGGTCACCACCTGCAGCTGCAGCAGCAGTGATTTGTTTGTTGTCGCTGCTTGGCCGGTATTCCGATACCTGCAGGTGTGAATTTACTGTGGAATATCGAACATGTAGCGTTTATGAAGAGGAACCATGCTGATAAAACGCGTTGAGCATTTCACAGGATTTTGCCGTCATTACTCCGTAACTGATAACAAACTTACGATTATCATGCATCACTTATTCTCACCTATACTCGTGACGATTATCTTCGGTACCTGATACCTAATCCGAAGGATGCTTGCTGAAATCTACAGTTAATTGACAATAGTTTACTAGTAACAGACATATTAAACAATATTGCTCGAATTCAATATGCGTATGGCAGGTGTTTTTCGTTTTCAAAATCTTCTAATACTTTGCTCCGCGCATAAATGGATTAAAATAAATCTCGACGTTCCGGATTGAGCTGGATCCATCTTTAGGGGGCATTATGAATTAACAAATGTTCCAGAAGATGGATGCAGCTTTATCCATAACGTCGAAATGTTGTTTAATGAAATTCGTGTTCGTAGTAAATGATTTGTGCATTTTCATAATGACACGTCATTAAACATTTCGGATCACTTAATGACGGTAAAGCACCCAACATTAATGATTACAAAAAATTAATGTATAAACACTAGAGAATTTCAAGCCACTGGAGAACTGCGATATGCATGATTTTGATTGCGGTTTTTGAAGCCATTGATCGATAGCAGTTTATTCTTTAGGCGCTGGCACAGAGGTGATCAGAAATACATGAGCAACAATAGAAAACAAAGAAACATAAAGCAGAAAAATACCGGCCAAAACAGAATGGACCATCAATGATTAGGGATCGTTAAAATTAACCCAAACTCAACTTTTCAAGCATGATATATCTGAAAACTTTTGAGCCGTGAATGAAAAGTATGGTGTTTGGGAATACGGAATGTGCACATGGGTGTTGCGGGGTCTGATCTTGATAGGAATATTTGAAGATTGAATACCGAATATTGAACGTTTTGATTGAGATGATCCGGGTTTT